ATAAATAGGAGGAACTACGATTCTACAATTAAGTCAGAAATAAACAGCGAATTATATAATTTGTTTGGTCATAAACAGCACATATAGTTCAATTTCATAAAATGAAAAGCAACCAGATAATAGGCAAGGCTAAAGAAAAGAACACTTTAAACTTTACATGGTTTACTTAGTAGACAGTTGGAGAGTTAGAGAACATTACCATTTCAAAGTTTCTTTGAACTTAAAAAAAATGATGATATAACAATTTAAAGAACACTAAGGTCATGTATAAACGACGGCTACTATATATATATATATATTGAAAGTAAATAAATGATGCCTACTATATATAGATCACACGTTAAGCATACAATATATATCCTACCAAAGAAAAGAAAAAGATAAATACCCTGAGGGATGAATTTGAGGGTTTGCATGCCCAGAAACTCCAACATCACGATCATCAGCATCCGATCTATTACGCCTGGATACTGAACTTACTTCTATACTGCAAATAGCTCAGGAAGCAATTTATAAAAAAGCAACTTAGGATAACTATCCTTGTCAACATCTTCTTTTGGGTCCAAAAAGATTTGAAAAACACTTAACAATCTAATGAATTCACAAAACAACTCTACATCAACCACTAGCTCAATAAATCATTCCATAAAAATGGATGTATTAAATACTAAAGCTCTAGCACAGATGTTACAATCTAATGCAAGGATGAAGGAACTTGAAAAATATTCAAGTCAAATAGTTTCCCAGCTATGTGACTAAATAAGCACCATTTTATAACAACATTAACATTTTATCCGTTCTTGATTGCACTCAGAGAACATGCATATATTAAAGTATGCATTTCTAATATTAACTTAAAACCATACCATATCAATTCGCGTAGACAAACATATGCACATAATGATAAGAGTATATATATATGCACTAAACAAATACATAATGCATACATACTACAACAGTTTTTCTTAAAACTATCTCATTATTTCACAGTACTCTATGTTGGTCTAGTAATTAACCAGCTCAAACAAAGCAAGGAAACATTTCCAGTAAATTATTGGTTTCACATCGCTAACTCCACCCTAATTTGGCAAGAAACTGAATAAATAATCCTATATCGAGAAACTAACACCAGAAATACGACATGTATATATGATTTTGAACTTGATTTAAATTGTAGAATCATTAGGGATTAGCAGGCACCTCACGATTGAAAACCTCAAATTATGCATAATTCTTTTACTTGGGCTTGGAGGAGAACGGGGAACCATATACCATCAAAGATGACCCAGTCCACAAACCAATTGACAAAACTAACTATATCACTATTTAATCTTCAATATATAGATTAATTACCTAGTAGCAGTAGTTGATGAAGAATTTGAACCATTATCCAACTTAGACAAAATCTGATTTTGCAGACTCTTCACCAGTTTGTCCAGGTTTTTGAACTGATCAGAATAATTGGCGCCTCCACTATCAGAAACATATTCCCCAATACTACCACAAAGAATACACAATTAAAAAAACCGCTCATATACATCAACAGGATTTGGACAATTCAGCAAGTCAATAACCGTAAAAAGAAAAAGAAATTTCGAATTTCTGATAAAGGGAAAATTTTCAAAAATACTTTTCCTTAGAAAAAGTAACCTACTCGATTTCGAGATGGAGCGGCTCCTTGGTACCAGTAGCCAAAACAGCAACAAGCAATTTATCGTTCATAGCCAAACACTTAACCAATGTCTTCTCGGAAGTCTTTCCAGGGATTACATAGAGAAACGCGTATTCACCGTCCAATTCGTTCCAGCGATCAATCCCTACCTCCTCTATACAACAGCCACCAAAGAGGTCCATAAATTTTGAAGAACAAATTTTAAAACAAAAGAAAACGTAGAGAAAGAAAATACCAGTAGAGGAAGAAGATAGTGAATCATCGGCAAAAGCAGGAGGGCCAGTGGCGTTGAGGACGTATCCGGAGACAAGGAAAGTGGCGTTGACGGCGAAGGCAACTTTGTCTTGGCTGTTCCGAAAATTTGGCCTCGCTGCTCTAATCACCGCCATCACCGAGTGCTCGCTCGCCATGTCTTCAGTGATAGTTGTCGCTAATTTTGCCTTCAAGTGTTTTCCAGAGAGAATGAAATCGTCACTGTTGTCTCGGCTTATATGTAGGCGTGTGTATAAATAGTTTTTGTGTCACAAGTCAAGTTCGAATTTTATATACGGGGAGCGGGCCGGGCTGCCGAGCATGCCTGACCCATTACTGCTCCGGCCGGGCCTTCGGTGCTTGGACTTGCTTGGAAGCAGTTCGGCTCAACCCGATCCGTGGAGTCTGTTCAGTTTGTTGAGACTATTAAGTTTAATATATAGATGTTATAATTTTCAAATTCTATAAAAAAAAATTAAAAATAAAAAGACAAAAATAAACCCATGTTATTTTTTGTCAAAATTTTGAAATTTATATTTAAAAAAAAATCAATTTAAAATGACTATATATGTTTAAGGAAAACAATTTTGAAATTTAATTTAATATAGTTTTTGTAATTATTTCAAGCTAAAATGCTTCCCAGACAACATCCATATTTTCTTTGAATTAAAAAATTTTGAAAACCCAGGTAGCAAATATGCCAGAAGTCTGTATTTCGTGCTTGCAAGCACCTAGAGTTTATGATGTAAACAGTACATCCTTCAAGTTTCAAGCATCACACCAAAAGTCTATATTCTGCAACGTCTGTATATACAAAGAAACAACATTTATTAAATGTTTGTGAACTATATCACAAACATTTTATAAATGTT